CTCAGTCCGATTTAAGCTTCTTCAGTGGCCTCATCTGAACAGACTGGTTACCCATTTTCAAGGCGACTCAGCAAACTATTGACTTGGGGTCTATTGATACAGTCAAAGGCTCTGCCACCTTTAATTCTGGGAAAGGTGAGCAAACTCTGTCTATTATTCATCTTGCTTTCTGCATCTTCTTTGCTACAAAAAATGATGTAAAATATATAATGATTTAGACCAGTGCTTATGTACTGTGCAAATGAGTCACCTGGGGGTCTTCAACTCCAGATTCTGATCCGGACGGGCTGGGTGGGGTCTGAGATTCTGCGTTTGTGATGAGTTCCCTGGTCATGCTGATGCTGTTTCCCCAAGGACTGCACATTGAAGAGAAAGGATCTGTAGGATCTCGCTTACATTATCTCACACAGATCTCATGTTTACACACACACACACACACACACACACACGCACGCACAGAGTCAGGTGCTGAGGGTTGAGTTTCACAGAGACTGTGCTATCCTTGCCAATGGAAACATATTATCCGTATTGATCCTCACAAGACCTTTATTTAGCAGCACATTTTTTTTTACATTATCTCACCTTAATGGTGCCTTAATTCTGAGGATCCCAGTGTCTGCGGTATTTAGTTTCTGATATTCTGGGTAAGTGGCACTTGATGTATACAGTAACTTTTCAGTTGAGTTCAAAATAATTCCACCTTGCTACACACAGAAAGTGCTTGCAGCTAACAGAGTACCTGCTTCTTCGCATATAACCAGATGTGATTGAAATGGGCATCAGCAATTTGAAAAGCATAATGCAAAAGCTATTAAGTATGTACAATTAGAAAACATTTTACTTATTTTTAACCTCATCACTTCTAAATTTCACCCACTGTGGTTCAGGCTCTGGGCTTCTAGAGCTAATGCACTCTTTATTTCAGTAAATTAGCATAATAAAGACTTTTCAGTGTCACCTTGCTTGTTCTGGTATTGTAGATGGGATGACAATATTATCATAATGAAATTGTTTATATGCCACATTTCAAACAGTGAGGCAGTGATGGAGTCAAACTTGGGGCTCTATATCCAATTTCTTCTTTCTGGATGCATGTGGCACTGTATCAGGGACAGGATTATTAAAGAGTTGGATCAATTTGGATCTTTATCTAAATTACAAAGAATGCACAAGGTACAGAGAGAACTAGCTATCTCCTGAAATAAAAAATGGTGTCAATCAGTCTTTATTGAGCATACACAATGTGCAGGGCATGATATAAATGCTGCAATCTAAGTTAGAGCACTAGAACATAATGTTATTGTACCCTTTTCATTGAGGTGTGTAATCTCCCTGATTTTTATCTCATATCCAATGGATTCTTATAATTAATGTGTTTTAAAATATAACTGAATAAAAATCATACATGTGTTTGATTTTATTCAGAGCCTCTTAATAATTTAAAAATGTAGTTCTTCTCTAAGCTTTTCTTCAATAAACAAGTTTTTAAGAAAAAAAACCAACAAACCCTTGTCTATAATTCAATCTTAGTGTTCTGTAAAGTCCTGCTTTTAGTATCTGCTCTCAGATGCAAACTGTTTGTCAAGCTGCCATTAAGCTGAAGGTGAAAAGCTAATGAACCACTTCAGATATTTCAAAATTAATGCAAGTCTGTTAGTTATGCAGCCCAACAAATCAAAGATTTGTGGATGTTCAAGTATGGTCTAAAGTTCACTCATATGTGACTTTTAAGTGCATTGTTTCATATGGTTAATAGAGCATTGTAGAGGGAAACAGAATACACTTATTGATTTTTTATTAACAGATAAATATATCTCAAAGATAATTTTATTTATAAAAACCTTTCTTTTTTACTCATAAAAAACTCCAGAGCAAGGTTAATGAGTGAGAGTTTGGGGGATGGGTTTTGAAAGCCTGTGTAATATGTGCACTGTGGGAGAGCGTTAGCTGGGGAAGAAGCATAAACATATACCAAGTCTGGGATTCATGAAATTATAATTTATTCTTGGGTTGTACCTGGGCTCCATTTTCTCTCTCTCTGATAACTGAGGCAGCTAAGTGACTAACAGGTGGGTGGCATATACAGCATGGAGACGCTGGACAAAGGGACGATTCACATCTCGGGCAGGCGGGAGCAAGATGGTGAGAGATTTCACCATGCTACTCAGATTGATGTGCACTTTAAAGAAGAATTTATGTGCATATATGCACAACCCAAGGACACGGACAATGGTGGGGAGGGGAGGGGACAGGGTAGAGTGGGTCATTGGGGAGAAAAAGGGACATCTGTAATATTTTAAACAAAAATAAAGTTAAGAAAAATAAATAAATAAAACCTCTTAATTTTTTATTTCTGCAATTTTCCACTTAATATATTTAGACCTCACTTGACTGTGGGTAACTGAAAAGGGGGGGACTACAGAATTTCATTGTCTTGTGTACCCTAAAAGTTTCCAAGGTAATGGCTGAGGGAGAAAATACATGAGGAGAAAAGCAGAGGAAATGGCTGTACAAAGGCTTTCCAGCTGGTGTGCACAATGCTTATGTCTTGAGATATTTATCACTGTGACTCCAGGGCTGGTCACTTGTGGCTGAGAACAATTCTTCTGCGGTCTCAAAGTCCCCTTTAGTGTACCTCAGCCAGCTGTATTGCTACTGGCATCTCCTGTGCGAACTAAGACCCGGTTCATGGGCAGGCAACCCGTGTAGTCTCCAGGACCCCCATTAGAGGGCTCATGCCTAATTTAATGCTCCGCTATTGCCATATTGAAATTCTTCATACTTTTTGAACAAGCAAATGGTTAGGAAGCAATGAACTGCACTGTGGTCAAAATGCACTGCCACACGTCCATATAAAGCAGTTACTGAATTATTAGAGCAGCAGAGTGCTTATATAACAAAACCCATCCTGAGCCTGAATCTTCATTATTTTTTTTCTTCAAAGGCATAGCTTCTATGGTTGCCACAGGGCTAAGCTAAATATCATTTTTTAGTCCTGTGGTTTTCCAGTTGATAAATTAAGGAAAAGCTTCTGTAACATATTTTCTCATTTATAATCTGCCTCCTGGAGGCTGGATACCAGTATCATTGAGTTCTGCACCCCCTGCAGTCCTATCAAATTAAATTTTGAGAAAAACTTTGGCAATTATTTTTCCTAATAAAAGTTCTGAAAAATAGAGCTCTGTGTTTGTAAACATTATTGGCTGCCTGATAAAGTCATTCCTTTGTGTATTTTCTGAGTCAAGATAAATATATAAACTGAATAAGGTATCTTAGTTCTTAAGCACAGTTTAGTTCATTCTCTCCATTCTCTTTACACTACGTACTTGTGTATATTTCCCTTACTTATGTTATCATAGCTGTTTTTCCTTTTTATTTGTATTTAATTTTTATTTTCTCAAACTTATAGATGAATATAGTCAAATCTTCCTGCAAAACTTAATTTATAAAAATATTTCACCTTCTCCATACTTCCTTGTGTCCTCTCCCGTCTCTAACTCCCAAAGGCAAATACTCAATTGCTTTCAACATTTTTAGTTGTTAACTGTTTTTTATATTTACCTCTCTGTGTCACAAGGGCATTTTAAAGAGTTGAATTCATGTTTCAGTTTTATCTATTACATTGACTTACCACTATGGAAGAGAAAGATTTAATTTTCTTTCAAATTCTCCATGTACCCTCACCCCTGATTTTTTCCCTTTTGTCTTTTTTACTATAGAATAATATCAATTTTGTTTTAAAAGGTCATGGCTAATGTTATTATGACTATGTAAATATTATTCACACCCTATGATGACTATATTTCTTTCTTGAAAAACTTTGTAATCCCTTTGAAGTTAATAGTTGTCTCATTTCATAGATTTCTTATTTTTCTTTGTATCTAGAAACTCTTCACATGCTAACTCTCTGACCTTACTGTAAATGTTCTCCCAATTATTAACATTAACATCAACACATGTCCAGCATTTCAGTTATTTTTGTCTTCTTGAGCTCCACTCCTCTCCTCACTAGGTCTGCTGCAGCTGTGCCATTTTAGCATGGTCCTTGGATGAGGGCTCCCACTTAAGAGTGCCAAACTTAATTATGTTGACTCAAAGTTCTTTGTATGGCTGGAATTTATTGACCAATGGGTTTTAACTTAGGGTGTCTTGGGTGAGTGCCTATATTGGTAGACTTCCAGGTTTTAAACATTTTTACATATTCTCCATTGACCTGGTCATATTTACTAGAAGTGAATTTTCTGCTGCCCTAACTCGAAGGAAGGATTCTGGGCGCCAAGAGAGGAAAACATCTGAAGAGCCTCAGCAATCATGACACCATCCCATTTTAAGTGGGAGACTCACCATTCGCGCTCTCTGGTGTCTCTCTGTTCAGCATCCCACTTCCAGTTTTCTGCAGGAGTGAAGGAGGAAGGAACAGGCACTGTTCACACCCACAGGGTGAGTGAGGGGTTCAGGAGAGACCCCCTCACAATCAGAATTTCAAGTCCTCCTGCTTCTAGCCCCTCCTTCTCTCCTACTTTAATAGGTAGTTGGTGCTGGCAATTCCTACAGCTGTCTGTGGCAGAAGCAGCATTGCTTTTCAGCTTCCCCGCTCTGCTGGCTTAGGTTTCGGTCTCCTTGGTCTGCTATTATCAGTTGACAATAATTCATCTGCTTCACAGCTTGTAGAATCTTATTGTTAATGTCTTTTTTATTCCTTTGGCCCATGTGGATTAGTGCTTTTTTGGTTCCTTTATTGTCATTCCAGTGGAGAATGGAGGTAAGTGTGTGTGTGCAATCTGCTATCATTAACTAACATGCATAGCAGTATTTGGATTGAATTTTTACTAAGTACCTCAAATCATTTTTAATAAGTAGACAGAGTGTAACTAAGGAATAAATGAACAAAATAAACTTACCACTTATAGTGTAAATACTTACTACAAATAAACACTTTTCTTCTAGTGTTTTTAATTTCTCTTGACAAAGGCTTCTGTTCCTTTCTCTCTTGAATACAGTTGGAAGCTTTAGGCAAAACCGATCAAACCTCACCTCTCTACTAGTGCAGCCCATCTCGGCGGCTCTCGTGGCAAAACTGATCTCTTCATCGACAGGTGGAACCAAAAACGGTGTCTGTAGCCCTCTAGAACTTCCACATAATGGTAACGTATTTAATGTCTTTCTGTGTGCCTTGTAGCTTTTGTAAGAACTGTGATCATTTTTAATCTCTTAAATTGACATGAATAGGATTGTGCTTTTTAAAAAGTATATATATGTACTTTTTGATGAGGTATTTACCTTCTCTGGCTCTTTAAGGGACATTTTTGGAAGGTAATTTTAATAAAGACTGAGGGTTGAACAAACTGAGAGACTGAAAAAAAGGGGAAACACATTTTGGACTGCAATAAAGAAAAGCAGCTTTACAAATAAAGCATTTTGTACTTTCATGAAAATCTGCTTAACATAGCTTCCCAGTTTCAGCTTCAACAGCAGTGTTGCCTGCCAAGATTCAGCGGAAAGCAGTCAGCTATCTGGGGTATGAAGTCCTTTAGTAGAAAGCATTAAAGCCTAATTCCTGCAATTGACTAAAAAAATCCCTCTGTCTTTATGCATCATTGCCCAGGAGATGCTTCTCTTACTGCAGTGCAGTTTGTCAGGCCTTGTTGGACCACACAGGATAAAACTGAAGTCGTTAAGCTACCTGTGGTGGGGTGAAAGCCACCGGCTGCCTCTTATTTCTGCCTCCAGCCTCAGCATTAGAGTTCTAAAGAGGAGATTCTCTTTACATATTGTTAAATTTGCATCTAGTCACTTTGAAATTCAACTTGAGGGGTTCTGTTTTTGTGACCAGACTTGGAGGCTCAACTACCCTTATCTCATTTCATCTGTTTTTCTCTTGATAACAAAAGCATAAAAATAAAATGTTTTGAAGAAGCCTAAAAAAAATATGAATACATTCAGAATTGCCCTCAGGTAGAGACATAGCTTTTCATAGATTGAGAGCCTCCTGAACTGATTATTGATTGAGCAAAGTGGGAAATACGGATAACAATGATAAGCCTGTGTCCTCGAAGTAGAATGGAGAAGCCCTTAAGGAGTTTTTGTTTTGTTTTGTNGGAAATACGGATAACAATGATAAGCCTGTGTCCTCGAAGTAGAATGGAGAAGCCCTTAAGGAGTTTTTGCTTTGTTTTGTTTTGTTTTGTCTTCTGAGCCCACAAACCATTATGGGCTCTATTTGTTAAAATATGTATTATTACAACACTGTAATAATACTTTAGTTGTAAGGAAAGCACTGGACCTCTAAAAGACTAGGTTTAAGCCCAGATTTAATTATTTGATTAGTTAATTCAATAAATATTCGGAACCCCTATGCGTTCCTGCCCCTGCCCTGTCCTCAGCGAGTCGACAGTCCTCATGCTAGCACCATACGCCACCTGCCTGCTGGGACCTATGCATCTGCTTCTGCACAAGGATATCTAACCTTCTAGTATCCCAAGTTGTCCTGAGGGTTCAATCATGGTGGACTTCTGAGTACTTTTGTGTACTGTAAAATGTTAAGTTAGCAGTTGTCTTCCTTATCAAATAACTGTATCAGTGCATTGCACACTATGTTAAATGTCTGCCTAGTAACAGCATAGCAAAGCAAACTCGCCAGCTGTATCTCTGCAATAATTTAGGACCATATATGAAGCTGAGAAGAAGTATTGAGATATATTCTGAAACCTGCTTATAACTCCAGTGTTAAAGAAACAACAGGATAGGCCTGTTTGCCAGTGAATTAAGCTACATCAACTTTTTCTCATGGATATAGTGATTATCATTGGTTTTAGAAAAACTCAAAGAGAGATGTATTTAAATTGAGATGATATTTCATGTTAGAACGGGTCCTTCTTTCATCATTTTAATACAAAGTATTACATTTAGATTTTCCAAATATTGATTGAACAGTCTGAGCTGTTCAATTTAAACCAATCTTAAATATAGGCTAATGACCCTTTACCCCAGTGCTTTGGGTAATAATACTCATGACACAGCCAAGTTAATTAGCTTCAAAGTTTTCACATTAACACATAAACACACTTGTTGCTCACTATGACATATATCAGGATAAAGCATGAAAAAGATACAGAATGAGATACTTTATTTTTGGGGAATGAAAATAATGCTTATAATTTATGGATTACAAAAATAATTTAAAGCATATTATAATTATATCTTACTGTTGAAATTTCTAAGTATAATCCTGAGCTTTAGTGTAGAAAATCTTCACTTAGAAATTTAGACAAAAGTACATTAAATATGTGTGCAAATCTACTAATTATTTATCTCACCTCTTTAACCCTACCTCTACACCGAATCAGAATTCTCTAAAGTCCGGACATCAGTAGTGACATCTGCCTCTCATATTTGCTTTCTTAGCATTCACTTGTCCCTCTCCCATTTTGAACTATTGCCTTTATTTCCCAGGAATATAGTATGAGCAGGTTTGACTGCATCCCAAGCTATAGAAACATATCCTGAGTAGTTCAAGTTACTGGCATATTACATCCAGCATATTTTAGTGATTGGTTCAAGATCTAAGTCTATCCAGACAGCCTAGACTCAATTTCTGGACTTTGAGCTGACTCAATAGAGCTGAACCAGAAAGCATGCAGCCTTGTGATCTTTTGATGGCTTTCTTGGGACCTTGACTGCATTGCCTTATGGAAGACTGCAGCCAACCAGGAACATATAGGTGAGTCATGGGGAGAGATAGAGAAAGAGAAAAGGAGAGAGGGAGAGAGGGAAGGAGAGAGGAAGATAGGGAGCGAGGGAGAGTGCCAGAAGGAGAGAGAAAACCTTGTCCACAGCATTTCAGTTATAAAGCCTTGTCTGAAGCCAAAGCTACTGAACTGGCCGTTGATTGAGTCCATACCTCCTCCCCTAAATTTTGTCAGTAAATTTATGTTAGATTTTCAGTTTCTCACAGCCAAAAGCTACATAACTAATACAGACCATGAAACTTTAAACAAAGGAATTATCTATATTCATGAAATAGGCTCTGCAAAGTGAAATGGAAAGCATGGTGTTTTTATAAAAGGCACCGAGAGAACTGAGAATTGCATGAAGCATAGAAAAGGGGCAGAATAAAATTTCTCGCATACATATATAGTTTGCATTGAGTAGATAATTGAATATTGACTCTCTATCATTTTTCATTGTCTCACAGTTTGTGAGTCTTACCCATTGGTCCAATATGTTGTCAGTCTTTCTCCTTGAGAATCAACCAAAACATGGAAATTTAAACGATCAGATGTCAATCATAGCTTCTGATTAAAAACCACAAATATATTTTAAAAAGGAGAGAAGTAAGTATAAAATCTATTAATGTAATTTAGGGTGAAAATATAAATGCATCAAGTTAAAAGAAACAGTTTGATATTTTATGAATTATTTTTTAATGAATAGAAAAATGACTTTCTAAAGTGCTTAAAACTTAATGCCATAGTAATGATGTGATGACAAGTTTTACATAAGCAAATTTAGGTCATATCTCCTGATATGGATATATACATAATTTATATACATATCCTACATTTATATAATAACTATTTTCTTATTCAAAATTTTATATATTTCTAATGAAAGTTACTTTTATTAGAATAATATAATGTCTACTGATGTTTATAGCTTTTTTATATTTCAAAAATGTACATTTGTAATTTATTAACAGCTACTTAAAAGTATACATTATCATTTCTTGAGCAGAGATTTAAAATGTTGTACTGAACATAGTATCCACTAAGTTTTGCTATGCTAAAATTTATTGCCAAGCAGTACATTTTAGGTTTTCAGGAAATATCCATTAACTGGAAATGTTATTACAGTTGTACCCAGCATTTTTTTGTTTTTGTTACATATGAGACCAATCAACCTGTTCAGAGTAGCCCCAAAAGAAAATTCCTCAGGAGACATATAAAAAGTAAGTTAAGAAAATGGAGAACTTGTTTTAGAGAAGGGTGAGCTTTGATAAATTCTAGCCATCAACATGTAAAAATATATCCAGAAGAACATGGTATAAAAATTTAATTTGTTCAGATGACTTGTATATAACATGCATGTAGATATGGTGACCACTCTTTATACAAAAAATTTCAGTGAGCTAGAATTCTTTAGGAAAGAATGATTGGAGTTGTGACAGATACAAACTAGATGTTAGGAGTCACTGAACTGCGCAATGGTGACACCCCAATTTTATGGCTTTTCAAGCAGTCAGTTGCACAGTGAACCTAGGAGTCTGAGCTGGAAGCTGATAACAGAGTATTCGTAGAACTAAAGATCAGCCTTCATGAGCTGCCAGTCTGAAGTCCTTGGACAAAAGGGAAAAATAGCTTCAGAAATCACTTTGAAGGACTATTCATCAAGGCTCTTAAACAGAGTGAACGTAGGTGGGAAACCTATTGTCCAAAGTCAACAGAAAGTACAGTCAATTCTCTATATCCTGGGGAGTGCAGGTTGGGTTGACTGAGGGTGACACAGATCTGTCATTCACCCAGAGTTTTGCAAGTTTCCGGCTTTCTGTCTCAACAATTTTGATTTTAGGAAATAATTCCATTTTGATTCAGTCTAGACACTTATTGTTTGTTTGCTAAAAGGCCTAAAGACCACCCGAGATGTACACTTTGAAGAAAACATTACTTTAACAAGTCTTATCCAATGTTTAATGTTTCTCAGCAATTTTTACAGGTTCTTACTTTCTTCGTACATTATTTCTCAAGTACCTGTCACTCCTTTCAAATTATAGCAGCTCCAACTAAATTTTATTGTGTGTGTGTGTGTGTGTGTGTGTATATATATATATATATATATATATATATATATATATATATATATATATAATATGACAAAATCCCTTAGAGGTAACCCTATCTTTATATTTTGCTGATCCTTTTTTCACAATGGGCTAACGTTGTCATTTACTAACCTAGAAACTGCCAGAGATTCCTCAATGACTGTCTGGTTCTATATTCTGCTATTTCCTTCAGGTGTCCACTTTTCCTCACTATTATTTTATTCAGTATTATCCAAATATGTCATGCACATTTGTGTCTCCATGTTATAAGACTCAAGTATTCCCTAAAGCTCAGTGCAAATGCTATCCTCTCTGTAAAAATCCTGTTAGGGTTCTGCTCAAGTTGGAAGTAGCCCCCGGGACTCTCCCACCATGCTTTAGGCACTTACATGCTACTTGGCATCGTGGTACGATTCTGAGAGTATAAGCAACTTAGATTTCCATTAGAATGTATTGTTTCTACTTTATTTAGATACGCTTTCAATTCTTTGAGGTCTCCCTTATGGCCCAAGAGAAAAGAATATGTACTGTGTGGTTGTTAGACATAGAGTTTTATATATATATTCATTTAGACTAAATTCCTTAATCAGGTCATTTAGATATTCTATATCTTATTATTAGTTTTAAAATCCCTTACTGTGAATATAGATTTGTCCATTTTACCTTATAGTTCTGTCAACTTTTTATTTATATCTTTTTGAGGTCATTTTTTAGGTGTTTATAAATTCAAATATATCGTATTTTCCTGGTTAGTTACAATACTTATCAAATGAAGTGATCTTTTTTATATCTATAAGGCCTGCCTTAAATTTGATTTGATCTGATATTAATTTAACTACACTAGCTTTTTTTTTTTATTAGTAACTTTATGTTATATTTTTTAAACTTCCAATCTTTCTGTATCTTTTTCTTTTCAAATAATTTTTTTTGATTTTTCAAGAGAGGAAGGGAAAAGGAGAGAGAGATAGAAACACCGATGAGAGAGAAACATCAACCAGCTGCCTCCCGCACGCCCCCTACTGAGGATTGAGCCCACAACCCTGGCATGTGCCCTCACCGGGAATCAAACCGTGACCTCTTTGTTCCTAGTTCAATGCTCAATCACTGAGCCACACATGCTTTATTGTTCAGATAAAAATGATATTTATATGAAGACCTGAGTTTGAGTCCCAGTTTTGCTCCTATGTGCTTCATTCAATAAATGAAGATAATAAAAACTATTTAAATTGGTGATTTCAAGAATTATTGAGATCCAATGAGAAGTAGTGTACGTGTGAAAATAGCTATTATAAATTTTAAGACACTCTATTAATGTATGGACATTTTTCAACCAGTGTATTGCACATTCATATTAACTATATATGCACATTTGTATATGTTGTAAGGTTTTCTTACTGCTGAATTACAAAAAAAATTAATATTAAATCTTAGAAAACCAGAGAAAATTTTTCATCTATATCTAACCAAAATATAAGCTGGAAAGATTTTAGAAAACTATATGGTAATGATTTTTTTATCTAATGCACACTTATCTGGATTATTTGGAACAAACTTAGAACAGGGAATTAAATCATTATTATAAAACAAACATATGAGTCCAACTATATGACATTTTTGAAAAGGCAAAAATGTGGAGACATTTGAAAGAT